GGGGGGGGGGGGGGGGGGGGGGGGGGGGGGGGGGGGGGGGGGGGGGAAGGTACACCCATGTAAACGCATGCCGTAGTCGCTAGACCAATGGCCTCGCATGTCTCCTATGCCGGAACGAAGCGATATATATGCCGGGATTCTGCCGGCCCAGGCTACGTTTCGCAAAGATGAACCAGAAGCTGGTACATGTCACCCTTGCTTTTGTTGCGCCAAATCAGGCGGGGGGGGGCTGGGGGGGGAGGATCTCGCGACGATATGTGCAAGCTTCACGTTTTCGGCATAACACAATCAATTTCACCTTTTTGGCTTAAAGGTTTTTTCGGTTTCACGTTTCGGTTTCACGTTATCGGCTTAACTGTTCGGTTTATTCGATTGAACCTTTTCGGTCTCGGTTGAATCTTTTATTCTTTTAGGTTTAACCTTCCCGTTTTCACGTTTTGGTTTCACGTTTTCCGTTATCCGTTTCGACTTATCCTTTCCGGCTTAACCTTTTCGGTTTTACGTTTTCGGCTTGTAACTTTTTCGTTTTTTCGGCTTAACCTAACCTTTTTAGTTTAACCTTTTCGGTTTCATATTTTCGGTTTCGCGTTTTCCGTTATCCTTTTCGATTCATCGGTTTACCCTTTTCGGCATATCCTTTTCGGCTTGACCTTAAAGGTTTTCTCGGTTTAACCCTTTCGGTTCCGGTTTAATCTTTTACTCTTTTAGGTTTGACCTCTTCGGTTTCACGTTCACGTTTTCTGTTTCACGCTTTTGGCATAAGGTAATCGTTTTTACCTCTTCGGCTTAACTTTCACAGCTTTTTCTTTTTTCACGTTTTCGGGCCACGTTGTCGGTTTCACGTTTTCGGTTTAACCTTTTCAGCTTGACCTTTTCGGTTTCACGTTTTCGGCGTCGACTTTTTCGGTTTTTTCGGTTTAACCTCTTCGGTTTCGCGTTTTTGGTTTTACGCTCTCCGTTATGCTTTTTAGTTTATCCTCTTCGGCTTACCCTTTCCGGTTTCACGTTTTCGTTTTTTTCGGTTCAACCCTTTCGGTTTCGGTTCATTCCATCTCGTAATATTTTCGGTTTAACCTCTTCGGTTTCAGGTTCACGTTTTCGGCATAACGTTATCGGCTTCACCATTTCGGCTTAACTTACACAGTTTTTTCAGTTTCATGTGTTCGGCTCAACGTTTTCGGTTTTTTCGGTTTAGCCTTTTCGGTTTAACCTCTTCGGTTTCACGTTTTCCGTTATACGTTTCGGTTTATCATTTTCGGCTCAACCTTTTCGGTTTTTCCGGTTTCACCCTTTCAGTTCCAGTTTTATTTTTAATCTTTTCGGTTTAATCTCTCTCTTCGGTTTCACGTTCACATTTTCGGTGTCACGCTTTCGGCATAATGTAATCGGTTTCACCTTTTTGGCTCAACTTTCACTGTATTTTCGGTTTCCACGTTTTCGGACCACGTTGTCGGTTTCACGTTTTCCGTTATCCCACTCGGTTTCTCCCCTAAGGCGTAACCTTGTCGGTTACACGTTTCGGCTGAACTTTTTCGGTTTTTCCGGTGGAACCCATTCGGTTTCGCAATAATCTTCTATATTTTTCAGTTCAGCCTCTTCGGTTTCATGTTCACGTTTTCCGCATATCGTAATCGATATTACCTTTTCGGCTTAACTTTCACTGTTTTTTCGGTTTCACGTGTTCGGTTTAACCTCTTCTGTTTCATGTTTTCGGTGTCACGTTTTCGGTTTCACGTTTTCCGTTATCCCATTCGGTTTATCCCCTTCGGCTTAACCTCTTCGGTTTCACGTTTTCGGCTGAACTCTTTCGGTTTGTCCGGTTGAACCCTTTCGGTTTCGCAATAATCTTTTATTATTTTCAGATCAGCCTCTTCGGCTTCACGTTCACGTTTTCGGCATAACGCAATCGGTATCCCCTTTCCGACTTGACTTGCACGTTTTTTTCGGTTGAATCTTTTCCGTTGAACCTCTCTCCTCGGTTTCACCCTTTCGGTTATCCCTTTCGGTTTATCCCTTTCGGCGTAAACTTTTCGGTTTCACGTTTTCGGCTTTCCGGTTTTTTCGGTTCAACGTTTCCGGGTTAACCTCCTCAGTTTCAAGTTGTCGGCATAGCGTTTTCGTTATCCCTTTCGGTTTATCCTTGATGGCTTAACGTTTTCCGTCATCCCTTCCGGTTTATCCTTTTTGGCGTAACATCTTCGGTTTCACGTTTTCGGCTTCACTTTCACGGGCTTTTCGGTTTCACGTTTTCGGTTTCACGTTTTTGGTTGTCCCTTTCGGCTTATCTTTTTCGGCTTGACCTTTTCGGTTTCACGTTTTTCGTTTCCGGTTCATCCTCTTCGGCCTAACATTTTCGGTTTCAAGTTTTCGGTGTTACGTTTGTCGGTTTCGGGTCTGGTTTATCCTCTTGGGCTGAACCTTTTCGGTTTCACGATTTCGGTTATTTGTTGTTTTTCGGTGTATTTAAACTTTTCTGTTTAAGTTGAATCTTTTCATCTTTTCGGTTGAACCTCTTCGGTTCCACGTTTTCGGTTTCACGTTTCCGGCTTAATTTTTTCGGGTTTTTCGGATTGACCTTGTCGGTTCAACCTCTTCGGTTTCACGATTTCGGTTTCACGTTTTCCGTTTTCCTTTTCGATTAATCCTTTTCGGCTTAACTTTTTCGGTTTCACGTTTTCGGTTTCCTCGGGTTAACCCTTTCGGTTTCGGTTTCATCTTTTAACTTTTCGGTTTAACCTCTTCCGTTTAACCTCTTCGGTTTCACGATTTCGGTTTCACGTTGTCCGTTTTCCTTTTCGATTAATTTTTTTCGGCTTAACCTATTCGGCTTCACGTTTTCGGCACAACGTAATCGGTTTCACCTTTTCGGGTTAACTTTCTCTGCATTTTCGCTTTCACGTTTTTGGTTTTACGTTTCTGGTTTCACGTTTTCGGCTCAACTTTTTCGGTTTATTCGGTTTAACCTTTTCAGCTGAACCTCTTCGGTGTAACGTTTTCGGTTTCACGTTTTCCGTTATCCTTTTCGGTTTATCCTTTTCGGCTTGCCCTTTTCGGTTTCACGTTTCGTTTATTCCGGTTAAACACTCTCGGTTTCGGTTTAACCTTTGAATATTGTCGGTTCAACCTCTTCAGTTTCACATTCACGTTTTCGGCTTGTTTTCGGCACAACGTAATCGGATTAACTATTTCGGCTTAATTTTCACGGTACTTTCGGTTTCACGTTTTCGGTTTCACGTTGCCGGTTTCGTTTCCGGTTTATCCTTTTCGGTTTCACGTTTTTGGCTTATATTTTTCGTTTTTTCCGGCTTAACCTTTCCGGTTGAACCTCTTCGGTTTCACGTTTTCGGTGTCACGTGTTCCGTTATCCTTTTCGGCTTCACCTTTTCGGCCTCACCTTTTCAGTTTTTTCGGTTAAACCCTTTCGGTTTCAGTTCAGTCTTTTAATCTTTTCAGTTTAACGTCTTCGGTTTCACGTTCACGTTTTCGGCATAACCTTTTCGTTTATCCTTTTCGGTTTAAATTTTTCGGTTTACTCTCTTCGGTTTCACGATTTCGGTTTCACGTTTTCCGTTATCCTTTTCGGTTTATCCTCTTCGGTTAAACCTTTTCGGCCTATCTTTCTCGGTTTTCTCGGCTTAACCCTTTCCGTTTCGGTTGAATCCTTTAATATTTTAGGTTTGACCTCTTTGGTTTCACGTTCAAGTTTTCGGTTTCACGCTTGCGGCATAACGCATTCGGTTTCACCTTTTCGCGTTAACTTTCACGGTTTTTCGGTTGAATCTTTTCGGGTTAACCTCTTCGGTTTCATGTTTTCGGTGTCACGTTTTCCGTTATTGGTTTCGGTTTATCTTTTTCGGCTTACCCTTTTCGGGTTCACGTTTTCGTTTTTTTCGGTTTACGCTTTCGGTTTGGTTCAATCTTTTAATATTTTCAGTTTGACCTCTTCTGTTTCACGTTCACGTTTTAGGCTTCACGCTTTCGGCATAACGTAATCGGTTAAACCTTTTCGGCTTAACTTTCACAGATTTTTTGTTACACGTTTTCGGTTTCACGCTGTCGGCTTCTTTTCCGGTTTATACCTTTCGGCTTACCCTTTCCGGCTTAACGTTTTCGGCCTAACGTTTTCGGTTTTTTCGGTTTCACCTTTTCGGTTTGGTTTAATCTTTATTCTTTCCAGTTCAACCCCTTCGCTTTCACGTTCTCGGTTCACGTTTTCTACGATCCTTTTCGGTTTATCCTTTTCGGTTTCACCTTTTCGACTTAAATTCTTCGTTTTATTCGGTTTAATCTTTTCGGTTAACCTCTTCGGTTTCATGTTTCCGGTTTTACGTTTTACGGTCATCCTTTCGGTTTATCCTTTTCCGCTTAACCTTTCCGGTTTCACGTTTTCGGCTTCACTTTTTCGGTTTTTCGGTTCAACCCTTTCGGCTCGGTTTAATCTTTCAATCTTCTCGGTTTCACGTTCAATTTTTCGGCTTCACGTTTTCGGCTTCACGTTTTCGACATAACGTAATCGGTTTCACCATTTCGGCTTAACTTTCACGTTTTTTCGGTTTAATTTTTTCGGTTTCGCGTTGTCGGTTTCACGTTTTCGGTCTCACGTTTCCGGTTCATCGTTCTCGGCTTAACATTTTCGGTTTCACGTTTTCGGTTTCGGTTTAATCTTTTACTCTTGTCGGTTTTACCTCTTCGTTTGCACTCTTTCGGTTTCATGTTTTCCGTTATCCTTTCAGGGATATCCTTTTCGGCTTAACCTTTTCGGTTTCATGTTTCTGGCTTAATTTTTTCGGTTTAACCTCTTCAGTTTCACGATTTCGGTTTCACGTTTCCCGATTATCCTTTTTGGTCGTATACGGCTTAACCTTGTCGACTTGTCCTGTTCTGTTTAATCTTTTCGACTGAACCTTGTCGGTTTCGGTATAATCTGTTCGGCTTAACCTTTTCAGCCCTTGTCGGCTTAACCCGGTCGGCGTCACGTGTTCGGTTTCATGTTTTCAGAACCAACCTGCGTGGGTTAAGCTGCCATCTTTGTATCGCAATGCGATGCAGTTCTTGATCGGTTTTCACCGCACAATCTCTCCTTCTTACCTTTTTCACATGGCTGCGTGAGCGTGAAAGGCTTAGAAGAAAAATCAGGATACTAGTTCCCCCCCGCCCCAACATCGACAACAATTTTTCGGCAACATGGTGTTGAGGCCTTGAGACTACGGGACAAAAAACAACAACAGCAACAATAACAACAACAAGCACGAGAGCAACGAAAGCTTCCTTTGTCATCACCTGTGCCGGCACCTCGTCAAACACCACGCTGGGGGACATGAGCCAGATATTGAGCCGGCACATCTTGGCGGGAACATAGCTAGACCGGGAGAACGGAGAGTTCCCCAGCGGGCAGGAGGCGTGCCGCGTTGACGTCCTTCGTGACAAAGACACAGAAAAGAGACAAAGACAAAACAAAGCAGAAAAACGAATGTCAGTACCAAGGGAGGTGAGCAACGAGCATGGCGTAGACGACGTAGTCGAGAAAATCATGGAGAGAGAGAATAATTCGTAACCGAGAATTGTGTTGCGGGCGGCCTTCCAGCAATACAAATAAGGTGCAGTTGGCTATAGACCGTGAACCCTGTACCTGAGCACTAGACTGGGAGGCGAAGGAGGAAGGAGAGTATGCTTTAGGCGGGGGCGTGAGTTTACGAGAAATACAAAGGAGGTGGGGGGGGTAACGCTGCCATTTGATTGCTCACAGCACTTCGTGGCGATACCGGAACCGGCACGGCCCTGGCGTCAGTGGAGGGGGCCCCGTGCATCCGAGACAAATATCTCAAGAAAGCAGCTTCGCTTTCCACAACCCACACGCGGGGCATAGGCAACCGAGGACCCCCCCCGCCGGCCACTATTGGCCATCGTTGATCGGTCGCGTGGGAACATTTCCCCGTCCTCTCGAAGAAACCTGATCAAATGGTCCAACGACTGAGGTATGCAAAATATCAAAGTGTGCCCCCCCCCCCCCCCCCCCCCCCCC